ACTTTAAGGTGAAAGAATCATTTTCATATACATTAATTTATTTCCATAACAGAGTTAAGGTCAAGCAACTAATTTATCCATCCAACTAAGTACATCAGGAGTAAAACTTTTATAAAATTTAAGTTGTAATTTACAAAATAGATGACACTATTAAATTATGCCCAGGAAAAAAAAAAAGACTGAAGAAATACTTTTTATGTTAGTATATATAGCTTGCCAGTATAGTTGGAAGAATTATTTTCCCACGTGCTTAGCATGACAGCTGGATCTTTCAGTATATGTATGCATCAGGATCATAAATTCAGAAGCTGTATAATCCAAATAGAGTAGTCAATTCTCACGATTATCTAACAAAAAAAATTTGACACAATGTTTGTATTAGAAAATCAGCTCCTAAAGTTACATTTAAATGAAAGCTTTTATTTAAATTCAAAGGTGAGTTGCCTGCACCTACAGAGAAAGAAAATCTCCAAAACTAACATGATGAAGACTAAAAACTAAAAGGAAAACAAAAAATTTTTAAAAATCTTTTAAATAGTAGTGGTTTTGACACTCACAAGTAACATATAGTCTATAAAAAGATGTTTAGAATTTGAGAATACTCTAGCTAATCAAAGACGGCTACAATAAAGTACAACTTTTTTTTTTTTTTTAAAGACATGCTAAGTTTATAGGCATTGAATTCTTTCCAATCTAGATAAAGTATCTATTGTGTCTTCAAAAACTGTGCTAAATGTTTTGGAGGGGGGTGGCGTTGTTTGCTGAACTGAGAGATAGGATCACTCCAAAACCAAAGTACAGTATGTTCCCAAAAGGGTGAATAATTCAATCTTCCACCTTGATAACTCATTATTACCCTGTTATTTTGAGTATGACAGAAATGTCAAGGCCTGGAAGCTTTAACACTAAGCAGGCACAAATAAACAAAAAGTAGCTGAATACAAAATAATACAGTACACACAACAATGTAAAAGCCCTAGGGAAATCTATCAGAAAAGTCCTCAGGAAACAAACCACGCTACAGTGTGCATGCCAGTAAGCGTCCTTGTATCCAAACCAGATTCACATCAGGCAAAGAATACGTATTTTGCTATTGGCTGTATGCTACAGTAAGACAAATAAAAATAAGTAATAACATCAATCAAACATCAGCAAACATGGAAACTAAGAGTACAGGCAAAAGTTCATAGCAGGAATAAAAATTACTGTCCCTGAGCTGCTTCTTGCCGCTGCCCTGGTAGAGGTCACGATGCCCTGAAGTGGAATGCAAACTGTTCAGTAGCTTTGGTGCAAAGTCTGGCAGCTTGTCTCAATCTGCTGATGGTTTTACGATACGCCAGCAATTTTGACACCAACATGGTTGAGATGCACATAGCTATTTTGCTCTCCTTGTTCTTCTGTTGGGCCAGCAACATCCAAAATACAGTCAGAATATAACTCTTCAGTGATTCCAGTGACCTTCCAGAAACCCCCAGGCACTCAGGCTGAAGCTCTAATACATAGATCCTGGACTCTCAGATGCCTCTCCCTCTTTAGGTACCTAAATCTATTTGATTTCCATGGCAAGTTCATAAATGTCCCTGACAACGTGTTCTAAGGAAGCCCAGTTCCTCAACCAGAATCAAGGTTAATTGAGATTACAATAAATTACAGTCTAATTTACTACTCCGTTCTTATTAAAGTAGAACTTGCTCAGACTAATTGCAGAATGTTACCTAATTAAAACTGAGTACTCTGGGCAACAATGATCTAAAGCTAAAGTTCACTCATGCTTATGTCATATTAAAGTGACTCTGGACACCAGGAAAGCTACTGAGTCCCTTCCTTTTGCTTGCACAACTGTTTCTATATCCACATGATGAGCCAAATCAAGAAGTTGATTCAGCTGAAAACTAATCTGACTAAAAATGATCAGCTTTAGCTAGATCATCTTGTCAATCTACCTCATCACATAGTTATCTGAAGAATAGTACTGGCAGAATAGGGGAGACTGAAAGCAAAGCCATGCCCTAAAAATAATCATTAAATAATATATAAATATATAAAAACTTGTTAGGATTATCAAAATTACAATTAGCACTTTAGAATGTAAAACCAAACTATGATAGGTAACAATAGAAAACCAATTAAAATGAAGCCACATTCCTGTGAAAGTGAGGTTTCAAGCAGGATTAATGTGTCAATGTACTCACCATGTGCTAAGAACATTTGTAGACATATATTTGTGTTACACTTGCGAGAAGACAATGAACAGAAATTTACAAAATCTATGACAATACATCATGGCTAGATACAGACAGACAAGACATTGCGGAAATACAAAATAATCATCAAATGGACACAAATACATACTAGACGAGCAAAACAAATAACTTTACAATACCAAGAGGTAAAAGAGCATGCCAGAAACTCCATAGTATTACTGGCAAATGAGAAATAATACAAGAGGTGAAAAAAGAAGAATGAGCTGATTAAACTGATGCGAGTTGGGAAATTAATACCTCTTCATATACACAGTATAGCAAGAATGAGCCACAGAAAAAAAAAAAAAAAAAAGAAAAAACAAAAACAAACCAAAACAAACAAAAAACACTATTCAGGCACGAAAAACCTCAGACAGTAAAAGGCTGTACTATTCTCTCCAACTAGGATGTCAATGTACCTGTTTTCAGACTACAACAGCAAAAGTCTTCAGAAGCAGAAATCTAGAAAAAGCAAGTATCCACTAAACATACAACAACTCTGCATATAAGCAGACCAGAGTATCCAAGTTCAAGGGCGGGGAGGAGAAGTTGGGGGCAGGTTTTGGAGGGAAAGGAGAATGCAAAAAGAGAAGAAAGTGGTTGGACGTTTTTGTTCAGAATGAAAGCCATTAAAATGTGAGGACTCTTTTTAGTCTTTCACAAAAAATAATTACTAAACATTAACTTTACTGTATCGTACAAAGGTTTCACTCAGTATTAGTCAGCTCTATTGTACTGTACAAGCAACACTAAAGATATCCTCCTCAGTAAATTAAAAATCTCCAACTTGCAGATTAGGGTTACATAAATAAGTGACAATATAAAAGACAATATGACACAACATTAAGTATTTTGATGCTATTTCTTGATATTTAAGGTAAGAGATCTGCTTTCTATTATTGTTCTTCCATACTTTTCAATGTATATGGAGATAGCATCATCCTTTCCAAATGGAGCACAACACAGACATCACTAACAATTCATTTCAATCTCAGCAAAGCAATTTTTACAGCAGGATTTTCAGAAAAGGTAGTGTCTTTTTGGATAACATCAAGGAGACTCCCACATAAGGGACAACCTGAAGGACAGCAAATAATGCATCTCTGTGAGAGAATGAGGCATGAAAAGACTAGACTGACATTATTGTCGAACAGGAACAGGCAGGGGTATTGTATTATAATAGATTAAAAAACGCCAGACAAGCCAAAAATACATGCCTTTGTACATTATATAAAGGATACTACCTATGTTACAGGCAGCTTTTCAACTCTGTTTGCTTATACTCTACTCAGTACAGGGAATGCAATATACTGTTGAACAGCAAAAGCTTCCACTGGATTATTGTATTAACATACCTGGACAATCACAGCAAGGTATTGCCTTACAAAAAGCTTATCAAGCAGAGATGAAGCTACCTTTCAGCAATGAGGACAATGCAGAGGCAAAAATGAAAACTTCATCACAAGCAAAAGAATATTATGTCCCCAGAACAGCTGCTCAAGTAAAGAGAAAGCAGATGAAGATGTCAGGAGAAGTTCAAGGCCAGGTTGAAAAGCAATTAGTAAGATGAAAGATATGAAGTAAAACCTTTTACCCTTTAACAAGGCAATGATCCAGTGAAGACATGGAAATATGATCTTTAATTGGGAAAAGAGCAAAGAAATTGGCTGCCACACAGGGAAAGAAAAAAAAAAGTCAACTATGCTGATTGCTGTGAGGTAAAAACAAAAATTGATATGCATCCTTTGCAACGATATGCACCACATGCAAACTGTTTCCTCTGAAATTCTCTAGAGTCAACAGACTGCTTTGATTACAGCACTATTAGCAAAGCAAATTTTAAAATCCACTATTTAATAACGTTCATAATTAAAAAAAGCATGAACAAAATTCAGTACTAAAAGCAGTATCAGTGGACAAAAATGCCTACCTAAAAATAATACCATGCACCCCAAAAAGATAAAATTAAAGCACTGAGAATATGTACTCTAAACATTGAGGACAGGCATAGACTAGAAGAGCACTTAAAATAGCATAATAAGCAAACTGAGAGGGAGCTGCAGCTGGTTCTCCAATTCCTAGGTATTGTTTAGAAATGCATATTCAAACCAAAATCCCTCGGAACATTTGTACTCTCAAAGATGACTTACACAGTAGTTGAAAGATCTGTATTTTAAACTATCAAAATTTAAGTTATTCAAGTAGCTACAAACAAATACTTTAAAGAACAAGAAGGAGGCGGTAAAATGAAAAACCAGAACACAGGGAAGTATTAATATAGTATCTTCTACAGTATTTCCTAAGGACTATAAAACTAATCTCTCAAGTTTTCTCTTCTGAAAGCCCAGATGTATACAGTATGCTCAAACAGCTCTGCTATCAGTCTATGGTAACTGTTCATGCCTTAGAGCAAATATGAAGTCACTGAATGATTGGTGTTATTAATGTTAACACTCATGGAATCTTGCAAAATCAACTGCAGGGGAAAAGAAAATGAAGTACAACTCAGTGTTGGTGAGGGCCATATTAGAAACTCAGAGAAGAAATGTTTATACATGTACACAGGCATCCTATTCTATGCACTTTTTAAAAAAATTACAGTACCTATTTTCATCTTGTCTATATGTTTAACGTAGCAGAAAGTAAAATCTACTACTGAAAGACAGAAAATAAAAGCAGTGAAGAGTAAAGCACTAAAAAAAGCTGTATGTAAGCACGATGGTCAGCAATGTTTCACAGTAATATTTTAGGAAATACCTGAGTAGATAAACAGCCCTTTCAATATCACTGAGTTCTTCATCAACTGTCAATCTTTCTATTTCTTCTGGTGTCTGTCAAGCGTGAAATAGAGATTATGAGTTTACAATGCCTTACTATTTCCTAATTTTAATCTTCTTAAAACAACCCCTTCCACCCCACATGCAGGGATAGTTCCATAACTAATTTGAATTTAATCCTTGAAATCTCTAGCCAACGTTTCAAATTCAATCAAATAAATCTTTCACCAGGAAAAGAAGGGATGTAATAAAAGTACAGTTCCGTGTCAGACACTATCACTATGAATCACTTAAAGTATAAACAAGTCACATGTATATTAATCTAAAGACCTAAGTTAGTCTATTTTTTCCAGTTTAATATTCTCATACTGAAAATACTAAGTCCCTGCTATACAGAATTCGAGATTATTTATTCCAAAATGTAGTAGTACAATTTTTAGTATCCTGGTGCTGTAAAAAATAAACTACCTATTCAGTTAGCTGTGCATAAATAAAACAGACACAATTTCAAATGGATTTTAAAGCATCGTTCTATTTTGAAGTATATACCTTCAGGCTCCTGCGTACTGGCCTCTCTATAATAGTTAGTTCCTGCAGGTCTTCTATGTATCCAAATAAATTGCTCTGACTAAAATCCATTTTGGAGAAGAAGATTATTGGATGCATGTAACAACTAGAGCCTTTGGCAACCGATGCTCTCCCCGAGTCTCACATCGCACTGAAGGAGGCAGGACCGGCACCGCGCAACACCCCCTCCG